ACGTGGATGGACAGGAGGAGCTGGTGACGAGGGAAATGGCTAGATGTGGCAAGTCCTGGTCACCGTGCACCCTTCAGGTTCACGTGGGTCATGTGAATGTCGGATCCATGTCTGTGGAACGTACAATGATAAGAAATCAGTCTTCAGGTCATGTGTGTCCCTCAGTCAGATCTGGCCCAGAAGTAATTATTGGCTTTGGGGTTTATAGAGGCTGCTTTGAAATAGAAGGTACATTAAGCCCTTGTCTGTGACCATTCATTGTGACACCTGGTTTCCGTCAGGCGGGCGGCCAGCGCCGGGCGCCAGCAGCCACCCCCCTCTCTGGCAGGCCTCTAAGAGCAGCACCCTTGGCCAGATGCCTGTGAATTTTAAAGGCAGGGATTCATCTGCGGAATCATCTTTCCAAACCTAATGATGTGTAATTGCTTAGCTGTGGGGTTACGATAGATCTATTTCTAGCGGGTTAGCTACCTGAGAGGAAATGAGAATGTAAATTGTTTGCTGGACTTTGACAATTTTACATATGAGGATACAGCTTACCCACAGATGCAGAGGACACAGGGAAAGGTGTTTTTCCCCCCAAGTAGCAGCCACCATTGATTGCTATTTTATAATTTTCTTGCCTGGGTCCTTTTCACACATTCGTAGTAGTTCTCACTGTTTTTATTTGGGTGGTTTTGAACCCATTTTAGAGAGGAGGAGCCCAGGTTCCGAGGGGAAGTAGCTTCCTCAAGGTCCCCCAGCTGGGAAGCGCCAGAGCTGGGATTGCAGCCTGGGTCCCTGACTGCATGTGGCTTTCTGTTCCCGTTATCAGGAGTAGCCCAACAGTTGGCAATAACCACTAGTGGGTGGGTGGGTGGGTGGGTGGATGGATGGATGGATGGATGGATGGATGGATTCTCCAAAAACAATAGTTCATATTGCTTCCTAATATAAGACAATATTTGAGATGGTTTTTTGGAGAAGGGAGCCACGAACCAGGAGACACCAAAAAAATCTTCCTTAAAGCCGGTAATTCCCATGATTATTAATTATCATTACAAAGGAAAAGACCTACAATTATTCAACACATAGATGTTGAGTAAAAATGCACTCACGGCTCTGGATTTGGGGAAGAGGTTAGGGGTTGAATATACACGTGAGGGGGCAGGTTGGGTTGAGGCGCCACATTTCCCACATGAGGGGCTTCCCACCATAGCACCACATCTGCGTGCAGGTGCCTGAAAGGTGGTTGAATGCTGCACTCAGGATTATTTTGAATAACGTGCTGCTTTTTTTACATGTATCTATCTGTAGCAATAACTTTCTATAGGGAAAAGAACTGGTTCCGTGATCTTTTTTGCCTTTTAAAAGGAGGCAAGGGAGAGATCTGCTTGAAGCTCTTACCAGGTTCCTCACAGTTTCCTTTTCCTGTTATTTATTGGCAGGTAGAGTCTCTCATTCATCGAGGTCTGGGCCCCAAACGGTCTGTCAGACCACCGGTCCCCCCTTCTCATGTGGCGCTGCCCTCTGCTTCATCCCTCATCCTCCAAAGCCGACCTCAGGAAGGCTAGAGCCTGGGGAAGGAGGAAGATGGCGTGTCCCTGGCACAGTTCTGATTAATCTTATTCATTGTCAAGTACAGCTTTTTAATGAGCTGATTCATTACTGAGAGTAGGTCTCATGCAAATCCCCAGTTTGTATCCTGTGGATTTAATTTCTAACAATTTCCTCATTTCAACACAACTCCATTGTACCATGAGTTTTATGATTTCCTTCAAATGTAGAACTTCGCCTCACATTTTATTTAAAAACGACGAGGTAAATATTAACAAAATGAAAACCTTCAAAACATAAGCTAGAAGAACACATAGCTAGATAAACTGATCTCTGAAGGAAGGATCATCCACACATAAAAGTATGGAAGAAATTACAGAGGAAATTACTGTGAAGTTTCCAGACTTCTGTTTGTGTGATAATACCACTGACAAATTTAACAAATAGGCAAAGAGTTTGCCTCGATTGTGACATATAGACAATATAAAACTATGAAGTGTTCAGGAAATTACAAAAAGAGACACTTAAGACAACCAGTAGAAATATAGACAACTTTATGCTTTCACAAATGCCAGGCTAACTATTTAAAAGAGAACAATATAGTTGGCCAAACATGGAACAAAATAGTTAACCCACAAAGTATTAAAGCAATGCAATTAAAACATAATAGCATTTTTACAGCAGCTATTCACAGGTGATTAGAGTAATACAAGTGAAATAATAGCATATTTTCAACTGTTACCAAATAGAAAAGTATTTTTAAGTGCTGGTACGATTTTTGGCAAGGGGGCAGTTTTCATCCTGTGTTTGGAATAGAATTTAGTGCGCCCTTTCTGGAAAGCAATTTGGTAACATATTACTTTTTTTTAAAAAAAAAAGTTCATATTCTTTACCTCTAAATATTCTTCTTCTAGAAATTTAAAGATAATAATTAGGTGAAAACATTTTGTGGGCAGTGGGGTTTCAAGTTATGTAAAATAAGCCAGACAAAGAAGGACAGATATGATCTCCCTTATATGTGCAATCTAGTGAACAAAATAAACTGAAGAACAAAATCGAACCAGAGGCAAGGATACATGGAACAGACTGACAGAGGTCAGAGGGGAGGGGTGTGGGGGACTGGATAAAAGAAGCTGAAGAGATTAGCCAAAGAACATATATGCATAGCCCATGGACACAGACGATAATGTGGTGTGGCCAGAGGAAGAAGGGGGCGGGGACTGGGTGGAGGTGGGTAAAGTGGGAGAACATGGGGGACACCTGTAATAGCGTTAACAACACCAACAACAAAAAGTTATGTGAGCTGAAAATGCTGATGAGGGGGCCTAGGAGAGCGCTACGTAGTAGTACAGCCATATGGAACATCCATACGACCGGATAGTATACTAACTAGTACAGCCTCAGAAAACAGTACTTTGAAGGAATTATTAAAAAGATAGAGAATATAGCTGTGGGTGAAAACAGGATAGAGAGCTCTGTACCTACAGAAACATGATCCAGATTTTGCCTAAAACGTGCATAGGAAAATGACCACGAGGAACTCCACCGGACTGTTAGCACTGGCCATGGTCATGGTCATTTCTGAGCTGTGGTGTCAAAGACACGACTCTTGTTTTCTTTATTCCTTTATTGATATGTTAAGTTGACCCACAGTTTCTGTTTGCCCAGCACTGCCTGCCCTGGTTTCAGTGCTGACGGACCTACTCCACATGTTGATCACTCTAGTGCACCCATCTCATGGCACACACAAACTAATTACTAAAATTCTAAAATATATTTTTTGCCAACCTGACAAAAAATAGGTATGATTTTGATTTACAAAAAAATTAAATAAAATAATAGTAATTGCCTACCCTTCTTGCTCCAAAGTGACTTTTTAAAAAAAAAAAAAAAAAGGTGCTGCCCGGCCAGTGTGGCTCAGTGGTTGAGCATCCATCTGCACCTGTTGGGGTTGTGAGCTTGAAGCCCCAGTGGGGGGCATGCAAGAGGCAACCAATCAATGATTCTCTCTCATCATTGATGTTTCTATCTCTCCCTCTCCTTCCCTCTCTGAAGTCAATACGAATATTTTTTAAAAAGAAAAAAAAATCAGGTGCCTATACTTGTATATAAGGATTTCTGGTATCAAGAATTAACCAATCAGATGCAACGTTATTATGCGACATGATCTCTAAGATACAACTCTATTATATGACCTATGTATTTATGGCTCAAGGACAGGGCATTCACACCATATGGCTGTTACCATTTTTTTATTTGACAACCTAAGGGGAAAGAGGTCAGTGCCCCTAAGTAGTCAGGTATTGCATGTTTTTAAAATTCTCGCAGCACACCCGTTGAAAATCGCCGCTCTCATGTATATGTATGGGTATTGAGATGGGTTTGTGCCATTTGGCAGGAGGGGTCAAAGATAGTGAGTGACAAGTGACAAGCTGATGGGGCCCGTATGGGGGAATAAAGCAATCAATTTTCTGGTGATAAAATTAATATGACTTATTTTAGAAAACATAGGGAAAAACAAATATGCAAAAATTTATATAGTGTCTCCATGTGGCCAGTATTGTTTCACGGTACTTAACACTTTTTAATCATTCCCAACCCGATAAAGTAAGTACTCTTTTCGCATCCCCATTTACAGAAGCACAGAGAGATTGGGTACTTTGCCCAAGGTCACACAGCTCTCAGAAGAGTCTGAATTTGAACGCAGGCAGTCCAGATCCAGATTCTGGGCTGTTCACCAGCACCTCTCTCTCTGTAGGTCCCCCACTCCAGCCACTCTCCTTGCTGCCCCCCTTGACAATTTTGTCTTTATTGCCCACAGGTGGGGCCATACTCCACTTACTGCTCCTTCATTCCAGGCCCTGTCAATGGCCAGGACTGCTTTTGACCTATGGCAGGACTGCCTTTCTTTGACCTTGAACAGAGGAAACCCCCTTCTCCCCCTCTAGTCCAGAGCCTGGAGTGGGGATTTCCATAGCAGAGCTGCTGGCCTCTGGTGATACAGTTCTTTCAGTTGTGCCACATGACCTTGTGGCAAAGGGCTGGGTCCAGGTGCAGCCTTGGCTATTTATGGAAACACTTCTCTTTTCCTTTATTTTGCCTCATCTGGCTCATCGGCCTTCCTGCTCTCTGAATGTGATTTTGGGTCCTCTGCTCGGACCATCAGATATTTCTGTAGGTGTTGGAATCTCCCAGGAGGGCTCTGGACTCTGCAAATTGCAGGATGAGTCTGAACGTGGGAGGGGGTAATGTATATCAGGGTATCCATCTCAGCTTTGCCTAACCAAGACCCCCCACCCCCACCCCCCTCGATTGCCCGTGTCTTTGTCAGCACTGGTGGATCTCTGGGCGTTCGATCCCAGGGAGTATTAATCCTTTTGCTCATCTGTTTTAAATGTTTCTTCAAACTTCCTTTACTTTCCAGATTTTAAAAATGTATTCCAATTTTTTTCTTCTTCTTACAGTGCAGTTTTACTCTGGCAGAATTTCCAGCTCTTTCAAAATCTGTACATTCAAGTTAGAGCAACTCCACTTCTGAACCAAAAAAGAAATACCTTCAGCTATTGTCTGAACTTGTACCTTGCTGACAGCTCTGCCAGAGTTTCTGGGTAATTGTTTGTTTTGTCACATTAGCTGAACAATGAGAGGGCACTGGCATTCCCCTCCTATGAGGTGGAGGCACAAAAATCTACATTTCTTTTTAGGTGTGTGTTAGGGAGGGTGGAGAAGGTTTTATGCTTTTAAGTCTTAGAAATTTGTTATTTGACAAGTTAAAACAAAGGTTTTAGGTACTTCTTTATGGGGACTGTGATGTTTAAACTAGAACAGAGTTTAAATTTGGACCTTGTGTGTTATGTTTTCAAAGGAGCTGTGAGTTTCTTTATCATCTTCCTTCCAAAAAGTTCAAAAATCTGAGTCATCTTCCCTTAACACACTTTTTTGGGAGGTAAGAGGAACGTAATGGAGCAAAATTATTCTTTCTTAATTGTAAAAGTAGGGTATCTCCTGAATTTTTACTATTCAAAGGAAAGACTGCTTCCCAAGGCAAGATATTCCCCTACCCCCTAGCCAAAGGCTGATATATCATTTATGGTTACTTCTCTGGGAAGAGGGATGAGGCATCTGCTGGGTGAGAACAGGGGAGAATTCCCTGGTGGATTCCTGAGGCTGGTGAAGGGCCTCTCATCCTTCGGAGGAAGGTGAGAGTGAGGGGCCTGACCCGCCAGGATTCCCAGGCATAGCTCCCTATGTAGGGCGAGCATCACTGGGGAGTTATTAGAAATGCAGACTCTCCCGCTTTACCTACTGAACCAGAATCAGCTTTCCAGGTGATGTGCCTGCACAGTCTGTAGGTATGGGCTGAATCGGTGGCTGCCCGGAAGAGCAATTGACTCCTAAGCCCAGGAGAATGGGGAGAGAGTGGGCTAATGTATTCTAGATAATTAATAGAATAATGGATCACATGCTCAGGGTTTGCATTGTGCTTTGGGTACCTAGGAAATCAAGAGCACATCGGGAATGTGTGTTTGGGGGAAGAGTTGCTTCCCTACCTCCACCCCCTGGTTTTGGTCCCTCGTCTACACTGGTAGTATTTGGAGGGGACTGAGGGACTTCCAGCCCCATTGATAACAGACAGCCCTTAAGGGTACATAGTAAACACGCCAGTGAGGAGACCAAGCCAGGCCCTCTCCCTGTCACCCTCACCAGGGCAAACAGTGGAGCTGTCCATGAGGTTCCTCGCTGTGGGCTCAAGAAATCACAAAAAAAGCCCAGCTGGTGTGGCCCAGTGGTTGAGGGTCAACCTATGAACCAGAAGGTCATGGTTTGATTCCCAGTTGGGGCACATGCCTGGGTTGCAGGCTCGATCCCCAGTGTGGGGCGTGCAGGAGGCAGCTTATCAATGATTCTCTCCCATCATTGATGTTTCTATCTCTCTCCCTCCCCTTCCTCTCTGAAATCAATAAAAAAAATATTTTTAAAAAATCACAAAAAAATGGAGCCACCAGTCCGTGGCCCTTGGAGGATTTGAGTGCTGCCTTGGATGGAGTAGGAGCTTAGCTGGGAGACAGGCACACACAGGCCGGGCGGGGCGGCCTGCCCACATGGCGCCTTGGGCTGGCATTACCTCATTCGCCCATCTAGCCATTTGTTGGGCACTGATAATGTCTTTGGCTCTGCCCCTAATGGGAGACATGCGATCCCTACCTTGAGGGCTCACATTCAGAGTTTCATAAGCTCTGGATTCACTCAGGTTGAACTTCTCCCCGAGACATGTTATAGTAAAATAAGGGACTGAACATAGCTCGTGGGTGTGGCACTGGCCTGGTTCTTTTAGGCCATGGAACGCACTGAAACCTGGCGTTGTCCTTCAGAGCCTCCTTGCTCATTCCTGGTGGCTTTTAGGTCTTTGCTCTCCCTCATTCTTCAGTGTTTTTAAGTTGCTTTTTACAAAAACTTATGTATGTGCTTAGGTTAAAATTTGCATTTTTGGTTAATAGTCTAAACTGGTAGGCCTAAGTTGGAAATAGATATTGCATAGAGTTGGTCACTTTACTCTTTCTGATTTTGTTTCGCCAAACGCTCTGGCGTTCACATGTACACATTACCTAATCTTTCCAACACACCCACTTCAGAAATAATTTTGAATCATTTACCGGCATGTTTTGAAACTTTTGTGTTGTTTTTTTACTTACTAGTGTCAGAATTGAATAGATTTAGCTGTAGCTCTTCCCTGAATAAACTGAAACCTGGGTGTGTTTTCCCTTATTTTGTGGGGGGAAAGAAAACAAACGAACCTTGAAGGGTACAAATGATTAGATGTGCAAATGAGAAGCCTCTGTTGGAGGGAGCTCATACCACCTTTACGCTGGTCAGAGCTGAAGGACAGTGCGTATGTTTCTTGAAGAGAAAGCACAACCAAGGTTGCAGATACCGACAAAGGAGGAGATTGTTCCGGAGGCCATTTGTGGAGTTTGTCTTCAGTGTTCTGTGACCAACACTGAGGGTATGTGGATGGAATACTTACCACATAGCCCACAGCACGCAGGAGACTTAGGACACTCCCCACAACATCATCCTGTCGCCGTGGAGGGAAGGGCCCCCTGGCCCCCTCCTTGAGGTTTTAGATGTTTATGGTATTCACTGAATGTTTCCCAATCAAAGTATTTTTCTGTAACAGTAAAAGCAGCTTTAACTAAAGGAAAACAAAAAAGAGAAAGTTCCTTAAGAACCATCTATGGGAAATGTTTGCTGGGTGGCAGGGAGAGCGGGTCTCCAAAGTGGGCATTTTAAAAGATACTTTTATGCTCAGGACTTCTGAAACAAGAGTGCCCTAAACATAGAGAATGACAGCTGAAGGGCCCAAACCTGAAATGTCCCTCCTGAGACAGGCAGCCAGAGCCTGTTACTTGATTTCTCTTCCTCTCTAAAATGTGGACCGTACTGTACGGATGGAGATGACGTATTTTTGACAAGTTATGATTACATTCAGACCTTTCTCGGCCGACAGCACTGTTCTGGGTCTTGGGTGATCAGAGCTGACCTTACATTCTTAAGAGGGAGCATCACAATAAGCAGGGACACCAGGGAGCAAGAAAAGTACAGGCTGTCCCCAGTGCCAGGAGAGACGTGATGGGGAATAGCTGATCCGGCCCTTACCTAGTGAGTACTGGCTCCGGAAATGCTAGCTGCTACTCTGTGTTATTGACCGGCCAGTTGCAGGGGGAAAGTTCCTTGACTAAAGTTCAGCGAAGACCTATATCCGAAGGCACACAAAGTTAATGCCTGTGCTTTCTGATACAATATCGCCCCCGCTCTCTGCCTCACTGTCTCCCATGAGCACAATCAGTAGACAATTGCTGGAAAAATCAACTGTGCCGGAAGGTTTAGGAAGCTATTTGGGATTTCCAATGTTTTTCTTCCTCTTAAAGAATAATACAGCGTGTCCCCATTTAGGGGTTAGTGGTGGTCATCATTTATCTCTTCTGCTTGCTGCCTCATTTTGCTTCTTTGCCCAAAAGGAACTTCAAGGGAAATGAGATCTTATGTAAAGTTTCCAAGTCAGAAGACCCGCCCCCCCCCCATCCCCATGGCAGTGGTAGGGAATGAAATGAAACATTGATCGCTGTCTTCCTCTCCGCGTTCTGCCCGCCCCTGTGTCAGGGGAAGCCAGGGGAAAGAAGGCAATGCTGGCTCTCTTGTTCCCCAGCCCTCTACCACGCCCCCCATGGTGCTGGCAGCAGTTAGGAAGGTGGTGAGTTCTCTGCCACTATGCCAGCTAGGCCACTGTGAAGTCACTGCCAAAGTCAACACGCGCAGCCTTTGTGTCTGGCCGGTAGGTTTCATAATGATGGCTAATGGAAGTCCTGTTCAGATGCCCTCAAGCTCATTGTGTATTCAGTCTCCACTGAACTGGGGCTTCTCCTCTTATGTACAAGCGAGATCCTCGGGGAATTTTTAATTTTGCCTTTCATCGGTCACTTGGCAAGGTCATGGGCTTTATAAGTGGCCATTCAATTGAAATTTATAGCAGACCTAATGTGTACCAAGTTTTGTTCATGAAAGATGTGTGTGGGGCGGGGTGGGGGGGGGCGCAGAATGACTAAGCAATGGACCCAAGGCCTTGGGACTCTTGGTCTAATTAAGGCGTGGAGGAGAGCTAGGTAAATAAATAACCACATGATAGTTCAGGGCCAGAGAGCTCGGTGGAAGGAGTATCTGAACGCCTCACATGAGAGGGTGGAAGCTGGCTTCCTTGTCTTGAAGTCTTCTTTGAGGGACAGGATGAGTTTCAGTGAGGGTGAGGACAGGTGAGAAGGGTTCTTCCCAGTTATGGCAGCATCTGTTGCCTACTGGTGTCATCTGAGGGAGGAAAGGGCCTGCCTCAGTTTTGTGCAACCTACGTGGTCACACAGAGCCTTGTGCTTAGAAGGGCCCCATACTTGGTTTATGTTGTTGCCACCTTGAAATCCTCAACTTTTGAACAAAGAGCCCCATCAATTATTTTCATTTTCTACTGGGTTCTGCACATCCTGTAGCCAGTCCTGCATGTGGAGATGGGGCTCTGAAGGTGGGTGGGGCCAGATTGTGAAGAGCTGTCTGTCAAACTGGAGAACATCTGGTTTTATTCTAGAAGCAGTGGGGAGCCATGGAAGGTATGTGGCGGGGGTGCTGGGAGGCTGGTGAGACCAGGGGAGGCTAGGCTGGCCGTCCATGGAGGGAGCCTGATCAGATCATGCTGGTACAGACGTGGCGGATACAAGAGCTATACCCGGTGGAGATGGCCAGCTTTGGGCACCGGGGACGAAGGTGGAGGGGGTGGTTGGAAATGGCTGAGGTTTCTAGCTGGGCTGGAGATTCTACTCAGCCACGGGAATGAAGGAGAAAGGAGTCCTCGGGGCCAGTGGCAGCCAGGCAGATGTTTTGCAGGCGTGGGGCGAGGCCCTTTCCAGAAAGACCCGGAAATCTCTGGTGGGACAGCTTGTGGAAACATGCTCCGCAGCTGCTCAGCTGCAGCAAATGACCTGCGGATCAAGGTTTGTGTCAGTATCAAGAGCTTCACTAGAACAAATATTCATCCAAAAATAAACTTCCCGTTCTTCCTGTTTTT